ATTGTCCAAGATTAATCTTCCGGGTGGATATAGCTCGCTAGCAGCCTCGCACCGAGGACCTATCCACGTCATCAGTTACCCAGAATGCTTTGCATGTAAATAAAATGGCTCCATCCTTGTTAAAATAATTTTAAAAAATTTACTAAACTAAACAGGCTACAGTATTTTTACAGTCTTTATTTTACAGTTAAAATACATGTTTATCAAATAAATTCTAATGTTACAACTAATCAGGGATAACTGGCCGCCCTGAGAACACTGAGCTCTATGTTTATCAATTAAATAAAACACATAATTGCGTTTGAGTGAAAACACAAAAACTATGAAGAATCTCTCTTTTTCTGGCCTCATTAGACAAACCTCAGATCCAAACTTTGAAAAGAGTGAAGTCAGTTAACACAACGGAGCACATGTAGCCACAACATTAGCTCACTGCCACTGCCTGACCAGCAACAATGGACAAAAACAAAAACGCTTCAAGTGATGGAACTCAAAACAAGTAATATCTTATCTGTCACAGATAGCTGTTTGAATGACATCAGCTTGAGGAAACTGTTAATTCGGACAGAACTCATGAGCTAAACAACATGGATTTATCTTTAAACTTCAATAAAACTTCCTGCAGGAACATTATCATATTTCTGCTGACAGAACTAAATACAGCTAAAGTTACAGCAGCGTGGTGGTTTTTAAATAAACAACTTTTTAATGATCAGCTATTAAGCTTCGGAGATCAGAGTTAATTTAAGATGACAGCAGTCCTCTCGCTCAGACCAGTCGCTGCTCATCAATCCAGTCAGAGTACACCTCTTCAAAGAGCTATCTCCACCAGGTAAGACAAACTTTCACAATACTCCCCTTTTTCAAAGAACAGAACCATCCTTTTGAAATAATAAACGTATTTGTGTAGGTGCTGGGAGAGGAAAAGCAAAGCAAACGTGACTAAGCTGAGCAATGTGTTTCTAACATCCAAACAGAAAAGCTCCAGTCAGGAGGTCGGCGTGAGCGTCGGGCTCATCTCAAAGCTGCTCTCCAGAAAAATAAAGAGCCGGTCGAGCCGACCGGACGCGGTGACGCCAGGATGTTGATGGGTTTAAAGGTCTGAAACGGCACTCGTCAGGATGTTAGCGGACACAAAAACATCTACACACAGTCAGAGCAGACTCACAGCCAGTCCAGGGCAGGCATGTGTTGGCAGAAGCTTGGATGAGGAAGCTGCTGCAGTGAGGTGTGCACCATGGACCTGAGGAGAGACACAGGGCTTTTTATTAGGAGGCGGGCTGTGGTAACACAACACCCTCCTCCCTGCAGCACATAAAGACGGAATGAGTTAAATATTGACCCGACTCAAATTACCATTGGAATAAACTAAGTTATGGTAGAGTCACCTCAACAGAGGAACTGTAGCTGCATAAATTAAAACCATATTTTTAGTTTCCATTAACAGCAGCTGTGTGAGGCTGCTGCTGAGGGAGGGAATGATCCCATGTCCCTCCATGTCTTCGTTGCAGCCGGCTTGCAGAGATGTTTCATTGACGTTCATGACGTGCAGCACCTTCTGACAAGTTGTTCTTTACACAAGCTGCATTATGAGCATCTGAGGCAGTCCCCGACGTCAAGCCAGACCCCTTTTTTATTAGCTCAGTACCTTTGAGTCATCCGCTCATGCTGCTGTAAAGGAGAATGTAAAATATGCAACACCCTGCTGCAAACAATTCAAAAAGGAGGCTGTCCTGCCCCGACTTCTCAAGCTTCAGGGCTAGTGATGTTTCAAGTGGTAAGATTATGAGCTTTAATAAGTAAAATTATCCCAGCTACAATGACAGACAACAAATATTACATTTATG